CACCTTTCCATATGCTAACTGGGAGACAGATACTACAGTAGAACGTAGAATAAGAGAGTTCGAAGGGACCATGAAGGTCCTCTAGTTCAAACCCCGGCCAAGCAGAAGACCCTGAACCATTCTGGCTGTCCAGTCTCTTCTTAAAAGCCTCCACAACCCCTGGAGGGAAGCCCTTCTACGGATCAACTCACGGTCAAGGAATTTCTCCTTAGTTCTAGGTTGCTGCTCTCCTTGGTGCGGAGCACCCACCTGTTACTTCCAGTCCTGCCTTCAGGTGCCTTGGAGAACAGGTTGACCCCCCCCCCCTCTTCTCTGTGAAAAGGGCTATCAAACATATTTGAGTCAAACATTTCTCAGGGGTGCTTCATTTGAGCAAATCTGCTTTGATCTATTACACCACCATTCTTTATTTCCATCCTCTTTGTGTGGCCTCTGCATCCTTTAACATTTAACACACCAAGACACTGGAAAATGACAACAGCAGACATGGGAACTCTGGCTTCCTTACAAGCTGGGGTAAGACACACGCTCCCCTTGACACAGCCTCGGTCTTTCTCCTTTCCTATTGACTTTACAACTATTTATTAACAATAAGATCTAAGTCAGAAAGAGAATGCATTCCTCTCCAGGTCTTTGTTCTTTGTGACAAGGAAAAGAAACTATCCAATTAGAGTTATAATTAAAAATCCCAAGTGTTTCTAACAGGCAATAATCACTTTGTACCAAAACAAAATAACCAAACAGATTCTTAAGCACAAGCTTAAAAATAAACAAGGATTTTACATCTCCAGACAACTTGTCTGTCATTACCTTGACTTGATTTATAGGTTTGCTTTGTTTTTTAAAAGTAATGCTATTTTCTGACACAGGGAGTGAGTGCGCTTTGTGCTTTACAGCTCAGCTAGTGATATTTCAAAATTAAAGATGGGAATCTGCGATAGCTTCCTTCCTGGAGATGGAGAAGTGAAGGGCACCTATTAAAAATTGGCCTCCCTTTCATTCCCTTTGAGATAGACACGGCTTCATTCATTAGAGAGATCAAAGCAAATTCATCCAACTTTGATCCCGGTTTATATAAACTCCCGGCTGGGTCATTGCAAACAGTGATACGGCTGGAAACGAAGAGCAATGCAACAAGGCATTGTTATACACTATGGCTTTGTGCCACTTGGGTTGTTGTTTCCAAATTTGTGTGATGTCACAGTGTGGGCTGTTTAGGGAGGCTCCTGACTGTCTTCTGTTTTCTCCGGATTTGGAAATTGCAAAAAAAATTCCCCTTCCCCTTTGAATGGTTGAATCTGCAGCCCTTCTGAGTAGCTGATTCCCCCATCAGTGGAAACGTGGTCTCTCTGGCCCTCCATCCGCTGAGCCCCCAAAGCCCTCCACGTGTCCCACCGTGTGTCCTTCTTATATATCAGGTTGACCCATGGCTGCCTCTTTCTGCCTTACTCCTTTCCTTGAAAGTTTTCCTGCATTCTCAAGGGATAAAAATGTTTCAAAGTTACTAGAAAGTTTAATATTTTATGTCTCTTTAGTGGGGCGAAATGATAATAGGCCCCACTTAGAACGGGCCCTTTAGTTTGGCTGGTTGTGGGTTCCCCGCCCGAGACAGCCTCCCCTTATGATGAGGGGAGGCTTCCAGAGGCTCAGGCAGTTCGTTTCCTTTCCCAAGGAAACGATGGATTTTGTACTGCAGGGCAAGTCTGTTGCTTCTTTTAGCCAAGCTGGGCTGTGCAGTTGCAATTGCAGAGATAACATCAGTGATGAACTTTTGCTGATGAAAGGATGCTGATGAGATAGTTTAGGCGTTTCTTGGGGACATAATCCTTGGTTGTAGCCTGTGCAGTTTGCAGATAGTTCAGTTTCATATTTACAAGAATATAATATAAATATTATTATATATGAATTATATACTCAAACTTTGGAAATTATCATAACAGGAAGTGGATTTATCGATCACTTGCAAAGGAATGTCTGATAGTCACTAAATCTATCGTTTGCGATAAATCATGGATTACAAGAGAAATTCTACTCCATCCCAGAGTTACCATCTTAGATTAATGGTGTGTCTTCATTTCCCCTTTAGGGAAGAAAAACCTGAGCAATCTTATTCTGTGAAGTCAAACTTTAATACTGTATTTTAAGATTGAGACTTTTTACATTTCTTTCTTTTCCTTTTTTCTTTCTCCCTTTTTTTCCCTGTTCCTTTTCATAGGAAATGAGCAAAGGTGGAGTTAACATTATGTGTTTAACTACTAAATGATTTCCCTTAACAAAGACATTTTTTTTTTAAAAAAAGTGGTGGTAATTTTTATAAAATTATTACTTAATAAACTGGGCTTTCTGATTTTCTTTTTCTGCACGGGTGGAAATTAAGGCAAGAGATTTAATTCTCTACTTAAAATATCTGGATGACACATTTCAGAATATACGCAATGGAGGGGGTGTAGATGCTTGATTATATTGTTCTGAATAGAAACCACTGACACATCTATTACCTTTGATGGTTTTTTTTAATCTGCCTTTATCTCTTCTAATGATGTCTCTACTTTTTTTAAAGGGTCACCTCTTTCACCTAGAAGCTCACCGATTAGAGAAAGGGAGGGGCAGATGTCCATACGCGCCAAGTTCTTCCTTCATGTCCACTTTATATGGTAATATCCTAAGAACTCCTTCCCAGTTCGCGCCAACTATCTATTCCATCTACATCTGCATCAGTTTTCTTCCTGTTTACTTATGTCGGGTTCTGTCGGATTGACTCCTAGAGTCTCAGGGTTGGTCTGCCATCCGTCTTGCCTGTTGCCTCACACTGGGGAAACGTCAGGGGCTCTTCAGGCATTGTTATCCTCACTGACTGTGTTTTTGCCATCCATTATTGTTATCTGGCATGTAATCTGTTCTGAATGTGGGAGAAATCCCAGTTGTGCCAGCTCCTGCTGCCCCAGTTTCAAGAGTTATTCTCTTCTGGATATTCAGCCCAAAGCCTACAGAAAGGGAGGCTACAGAGCTAAAGATGCTTCTCCATTCCTGCATTTTATGAGAGCTCATGCAGAACTCATTCACAGATCCATTCAGCAGACACAAACTGTAGCTTGGAAATGTTGATATGATCTCCATCCTATATTATACTGTATTAATATTGTTAAGCCATCTTTGGAACCTTGTTAGCTAAGATAGGATTTGTCCCATGCTATCCGAACAGGCAGGGCAGTGAACAGGCCTCCACTGATGGCCCATGTGCTAGAATCTAAACCAAGCTCAGAAAAAACATGGCCCAGTGAAAGCGGGATGTAGCCATGGTTGGGGCCGGGTGGCCTTCAGCCATCATGGAATCCCCATCTCCAGGGGAGACCCCCAACTGCAGGAGACAGGAGAGCGGGCTTGAGCTAGACTTGCACAGGCTTTGTGATACCAAGTTCAAAATGGCTGTTCTTTTAGTGCTAGTCTAATTCCAGAACAAACAATTTAGAGCTTATCATGTTGTTTTCTCACAGAGAAGAACAGGGAGGAAAACGTGTCTTCACAGATGCTCCTAGAAATGGCTTCTCCTTTTTCATCCTAGTTTAGCACAGAAAGTCAACTCACAGAAGAGGGAACAGTTTTGTTTAATCTCACCTATCAGATTTTGTCCATTCAAGCCATCCATCCACACATCTGGATTCATTTCAGACCCTCGGAGCACACGGAAGCTGAATGCGGAGCCTCTGTGAAGCTCCTTCAAGCTTTTCCTGGGTTTTCACAATGTTTTCCAAATCGTAGTTGTTTCAAAGAGCTCCAGACAGGTCCGTGTGTCCCAAGATATCATTTTGGAATTGAGTTCAAAGTACTCAACAGGATGACCATCCAAAGCCTCGTGGCACACTTTTGGCAATTTAAAGTACATTGCATGTATTTATCATTTTTTCCAGAACCCTCGTGATTCAGAGTAACTTTTACTGAAATGTCTGCATTGCAGCAGGAAAAATGCAGTATAATCTTTTGTGGTTTTGTGTGCATTAAATTAAAATATTGGGCAAACTCCAGTCAAACTTAAGTTTTTCTAAAATGAAATTATTTTAATGGATGGAATTTAAGCACAAATTTTCCTCATTAGCAGAGAAGACTTAAATTGTGCTCCTTCCCTGCCACTTTTTACTTTGTTTGGTTGCTCCTTTAAACATTTTCTTGTGAATCAGCTTCAGTTTTGGGAGAGATTATTTGATACTAAAGAAAAACAGTAAGGAACAATTCTGCTTTTGAATGGATAAATTCCGAATGACAATCAGAAAACAGAATAAGCTTTCAACCATGGCTAATGCTATATAAAAATGTTAAATGGTTGGGCATATTTCATAAATAATTTTATGACTCAAATGTCTAAAATAAATGAATTCTCCCGCATGCTTTCAATAAAACAACTTCCCTCATTTTGGAAGTTAGCATTACTTTGTAATGGAGCTGACTGGCGAGTTAACAAAGACCACACAGATCCTTGAAAGGAAGCCTGTTTTCTTTAGGCGTGTGGCTTTTGACAAATGCTGGGCCTCTCAACTGCCTCCTTTCTGCTCCAGAACGCTTCAGCCGCTGTGCCTGGGGAGTGAGAGGGATCCTCCGGACCCTTCCTTTTCTCGGTTGACTCCCATTATTTCCAGTTACTCTGGGTGGGTGGGTGGGTGTTGATGGGGTGGGGGATGTTCTGGGGAGGGAGGAGCAAAGAGGTTGGGAGGAGCATACATTCCTAGGGGGTCGCTGAAGGCTTGAACCCCAATGCCCAGCTAAACCAGCCAGGCACCCAGAGGAAGCACCCCCCATGCGGGAAGATGCTGGAGTGGGAATGTCACTCTAGCAACAACGTCAAAGGGCCCATTTCATGCTGGGAGGGAGGAGACACTTCTGCATTTTCCCAGGGGGGGGGGGGCTGTATAAATTGACAGTCAGTCTAGTGCCAGGCGGTGTCGCCCATCAGTCAGATGTCGCTCAATCAGCGACCGAGAAAGAACCAAGGATCTCCCAGGGCCCTGAGGGGACTGGGATGCAGCTACATTCAAGTCTTCAAGTCAGCCGGGTCCTCCTCCTGTTGAAAGGCTGGGAAGGTGTAGCAAAGACCTACGGACTTTGAGAAGAGATCATCTCTTTTTGGCAAACGTTGCTGAATGAATCAGAGGCTGTGATCGCTACATCAAGATGTCATCGTTGAAGGGAGATCTAGTCCTGTACGAGGATTGGTATTTCTAGAAAATGCTGGATCAGACCATTCTAGCTGAGCACAAACATTCTCACTGAAAGTAGATTTACAGCCAAGTAAATCCAACATTATTAATGATACACCTCTAAAAATCCTACTACTGAAAAAAAGCCGAGACTGCCTTGCAAGAAGGAAATTGTCAGTAAAAATGAGTTTGGAATACAGTTGCATCTTCTCTAAAGGGCTGATCCGCAGTTAAATTTCCCAATCGATCATTTAACACCATAGGTGTACAGTTATACAAATTCTCCAGCACATTTGCCAAGTTAATTCCACGCTTGAAATTAGTTATATTTTTATTAGCCAGCTATTTGTGGAAATGGATGCAGTTACTGAAAGGTTTCCAGAGATGTTTGGTTTGTTGTCTTTGGGTTTCCCATCCCAGAAAGAAAAGGCAGATTCCTCCAGAAAACTCAGAATAAAGGTGGCCGCTTGTCAACCACAAAGGCCTTGAGGCCCTTTGAAGACACGGCGGCTGAAGCTCCTGAAAGGGGCCGGGGGGGGGCACGGAGAGCTCCCACCCCCAGGGAAGGCCAGGAACCTCAGATCAGACTCAAGAAGCCCCAAACTATGGAAGAGGAAAATCACAGCTATGCCACAGGGTAGATAATATAGATATCCAGAAATTTTTATTTTACAAATACACACCCACACAACCACAAAGACAAGTCTGGGCAGCAATACTGTAAGAAGGTAAGAATCTAGAACAGAGATAAAATGCAGAGACTGAAATAATGACAAGCACTTTCTGAATCTGTGGAGGCCTCGGAAAGACGCGGCTGCTTTCATGAGTCATAGAGAGAAGCTCCCGGCTCTTATGGAAACCAAGTTTTTTCTCTTACGTGGGCCTGTTTTCAAATGCCATGAAAAGCTGAGTCTGGGCGAGTCCAATGATTGGAGTCCTGCTGGCTAAACAATCTGGGTCATAAGGCTAAACACACACACACACACACACACACACACACACACACACGACTTCTGTATTTCTGTAGATGTCAAGGTTGTATCTTCTGAAGCTGAGAATTAGAGAATGTGATGACGTAATTATTTTGTAGATTCTGGCATAAAGTACCACATCAGTATGAGCTGCTAAAATTGATTTTATATGCTAATATTTTACTTAGCTTCAGGACATCATGAGTTTGAAATCAATATTTATTCAGTATTAAGCAAAATCTAAGAAATAATAACACTTCTCTTGTTGGAAACAGATTTCAGAGTTTACCTAGAAGAGAGTGTACATTATTCAAGTCAGTATTTAAAATCATAGCATAATTGTTTTCAAATGGATATGAACCAAAATTAAATCCATCCTTCTTGGCAAGTAAAAATTGTAAATCCTTGAGAAAATATACTAATAATCAAAATAATAGTATTACTCCTGTTAATGGTGAAATATAAATTAGAAAACATGTTTGTTTTCTTTCAAGTTTAAAAAAGGAAGAAAATAAATATATTATTATGAGAGAAGACCATAATATGTTCTTTCCACTATTTTGTGGCTTGGCTGCCATCTCGTGGTGAATATATGCAAGTTGTTTTGATTCCACTGATATCTATATTTTAAGAAGTGAATTAGTGATATATGATCCTAATTGCCCTAACTTCTGTAAGGGAAAATATAGAGTCTAAATATTAGGTTACTGAATCTCTGCCTTATCTTTTGTAGAAGAGATAGAATACTCACTTGTATAATAATATCCCACTATTATATATTATATTATGTATTTGTTTGAAGCTCATACATACAGTATTTATATCAAAATCAAACAGGCTTTTCCACATCTGTAAAGTTTAGAATTACAAGATGGGCTTGACTCCTGTTCTCTGTTAAGAGAACCTGAAAACATAGAAGTAGAGTAGCAGAGAGGGAGGGAGGGAGGGAGGGAGAGAGGGAGGGGGGAGTGTCTGTGATACAGGATTCCTAAACGTGAGTGTACCCTGCAAGCCACAGAAGTGCACACCGTCAGTGGCCAACTTCCTCTGAGGACGTCACTTCCACGCTGTGGTCAAGGAAAACGGCATAGCTGTGGTCATGTGAACCCACAGGCTAGGCTTCCTCCGGGTGCCGTCGACCGGACAATGCCGACTGGCGACCACTCGGGGGAGAGCCTTCTCTGTAGCTTCTCCGGCTCTGTGGAACGANGCCCAATCCCGAAGGACTCCGGGCGGCTTACAATGGATGTGATGCCCCAGGCCGCCTCCCTGATGCTTCCTTTTCGCCCTGGCCCTCTGGCATCCTTTGGGTGTGTGTGTGCGATATGGGCACTTCCATTATTGGGTGGTCTCGAGGGGATACCCTCAATTACTTCAGAGCACAATGTTGCCATTAACATGATTATAATGTCATTCAACAATTATGAAATGTTTCATTAGAAGCTCTGTGTGTTTGGGGTATAATGATGATAATCCAGATCTCCTCTTAAAAAAATGTAATTGAGAAATACAACCGAGTTAAGGTGGTGACGTGTTTATGAAACCCTGTTGCTTTAAAAGCTTCATGGTATTAAACAGAGGATTACAGCAAACGCCTCCTTGGGCTCAGTTGCAAATATATTGTATCTAATGCTGCAGGACAGTTAACCCCATTCCCCTTATCTCCAGGGACCATCTTCAATAGGCTTGGTGGAAGCTTTACTGCACAAGGGCTCATCCCTTGGACTTTGACTTGAGCTTGGCGTTTATGAGCCTGAAACACCACCACACACCCCACACCCCCTGTCCTGTCCATAAATCACCCTAAACCTTTCAGGGTTGGCTTTTCATGCCCACTCTGGCTCTCCTACTGAAGGACCCTGGGAAGCGGAATATTCTAGCCCTTTCAGGTGAAACCAACGGAGGGTTCCTGTTGATCCAGGATGAATCTTTCCAATGAAAGAAAACTCAAAAGTCATCCAATAGGGGGAAAAGTCCTTCAGGAGAGAATTCACGTGGGAGAATCTCTGCAGATGTAAAACAGGCTAGCAGGAATGTGGTCCAGGGGGCTTTGAGGTCAACAAGGAAGATCTGCAGGATGAAACCCAAAATATCTGTAGCTGAATGGAATATTTTACACTTCCATGATATTTGTGATAATGAGGGGTGTTTTTTTAAATAAGTATTGGCAGTCTATGTCGGTACTTCTCTGCATAAGACAATGGAAATATTTGGATGCTAAAACTTAGTAAAATAGTCCCAGTTAGAGTAAAGCTTCAATTAAGTGAACCATCTGAGAAGATTTGTCACTTTAAATATTTTTTTTATGATTTCTTGACTATGCAAATGACTTGATCCGGAACTGCTACTGTAATTGGCCTAAATTTGCACTAATTCTTCTAGTATTGTGTTCTGATCATTTTTGGGGCCTGCTCAGTTGCTAAGTAACAAAAGAAACAAGAATAACTTTAAAAACCATGAAGGACCTGGCAGTTTCCATACACAACTTATTCCTCTTAATTTAGAGGTACCATAAATCTCTATCTCTGTCTCTGCCTCTCTAGGGAAGACGGAGGGAGAGGGAGGGAGATGGGGGGGGGGACTCAACATGACTAATGGCACTAGGAATGGGTCAATTTTCCTTCCACATTTCCTTCTAAATGGCCAAGAAGGGCTAAAACACAGCATGAAGCAGATCTGGACTGCAAAAATTCAGCCGGGCAGGAGATGGCGAAGAAACTCCGCAAACTTTCAACATTTTGCTGTCCCCTTGTAGTCATTTTACAGTAGTCACCCAGCGTTTTGCAGTTCAGATCTGATACCCCTGATATTGAGAGAACAGTTTTCTATTCTATTGACATCAACACAGATAAATCATCTGTACAGTGGGGGGGTGGGGGGGTGGAGAACAGCAACCCCACTGTGGATTGTATCACCGCCATCCAATGCTGTTTCTCACCCTGTTCTGGAAGGCCAGTATGGAAAATCTCTAAAAAGAGGAAAAACTGTTGAAATTTTGCAGACGGCTTCCCTGATGAATGTCTACATCTGCAAATGGTTATGAAGTAGATGCTTTGCTCTCTTGTCCAATTGGGGAAAAATTCTGCCAAAGAAACACCTCACAATTTTAGAGAAATGTAAATTTGTGGTCCACCTTAACTTCGAAGGGTTCCTTGAAAACGTAAGCCCTGTTATTCAATTAGTAATTGCAGCTGTGCAAACACCCTGTAGATAACAAAAGATGGCAAAACTGCTGCTTGCTTGTCTTTTAGGTCTGAGCCAAACGCAACAGGTATTTTGCATACAGCAGGCTTAAATTGGACAAAGGGTGAGAGTTTTATTGAATAGGAGTGAAACATAAAGAAAACTCTTCTCTATAGGAAAATCACTGAATCAGTTTTTGGGCTTTATTAAGTGAAAATATCACTATATTTTGGGGAAAATAAAATCTCTGCTCCAGAATATCTGTCTTCTCCTCAAATTGTGTTTCTAAAATCCAATCTTTGGCATAACCACATAGTTCACCCTTCCATATGCTAACTGGGAGACAGATACTACAGTAGAACGTAGAATAAGAGAGTTCGAAGGGACCNCGGGACAGTTGGGTGATCATGATGCAAGAATGAGCTGATATAATAAACCAGCTTTTATTCCTAGAGGATAAAATGGTAGACGTTGCGTTAACTGCTTCTAGTCCGTAGGCTGAGTCCCATCTCCCGCCTGAAGGGGCTCCGGGAGGTCCAGATTGGATTCTCTATGTAGGCGATCACAGGTCCCTACGGATCCCTACAGATCAGCCAGCCCTGCTCTGGTGCTTACCTTTCACATCAAAACAAGGGAGCAGACCACTGGATTTAGGTGACTACATTGGATAGGATCAGGGCTGGGATTCTACCGGCCCTGGGGGAAGTTTGGCCGAACTGGTAGCGCCAAAGATTTGTGTTTTAGCCCAGCTGATAGGCGCCTCAGCCGGGCCTCAGCTGTTTTTTCCTGTGAACTGCCAACATGCACGTCAGGCACGCCCGCACACACAAACACACAGACACACACACACACGCTCAGCGAACCGGTTGTTAAACCAGTAGGATCCCACCCCTGGATGGGATGCACTGCAAAGCAATCTGCCGATTTGTCCCTGCTTCTCTTCTCTCCCTTCCTTCTTCTCAAGAATAAGACCAAGAGGCAAGAACTCGTCCCTTTGAGACCCTGAACAATTTTCATCGCAACCCAACATTGTTGCCTGAGAATTAACTGCCGACCGCCTGAGGAAGCCCTCGGGGCTGCCCCACTCACCGAGAGGGGAATCCTGGGACTAGGGACACTGTTGTCCTTGGTCGCCGCTTCTGGCCTCCCTCTCTTCCAGGAATGGAGGCTGCGTGCAAGAAGCAGCCCTGGGCACCACGGAAGGGAAGGGCATCCAGCAGCTTTCGCTTCCGAGAAGGCCTGAGCCCTGAGTCCTGAGCAAGGGGTCCCCGGGGTGGGTGGGGAGGTGAAAACAAGAGTGACCCTGTTGTAACACCAACTGTTCTGCTCAAGTATTACAGGAGCAGCAGCTCCTTAAATGACAGGGGCACAAGGAGACTCCAGAATGGTGAAGGAGAGAGAGGGAGGGGGGGGGAGAGCAAGGGCTGAAGCCTCCGATCTACAAAGGGGTTTCGTAATGGCAAGCTTTCCACGAAGGACTTCCACGGACTCCCTCTACCCTTTTTCTCTTGCAGCAACATATTCCACGGGTACGCCGTCTGTGTCTATCATATGGCCAGCATTCGGGCGGCTTTCAACGGGCCGTACGCTCACAAGGAAGGGCCCGAATACCACTGGTCTGTGTATGAAGGCAAAGTGCCCTACCCGAGGCCTGGATCGGTGAGCTTTCCCCTTGGAGTCAGGCATTCGGTCCTGCTTTAAATGGCGGGGAGGGAAGCGCGTCACGTGGCATTTCTGTGTCTCTTCCGTGCTTCGCTGACTGCGCTGAGATTGTCACGGTGCTTTTGAACAACGTGGCCCTAATCAGCGCAGCCTTTGCTGACCTTGCAAACCAAGGTTTATTACAGGAGAAAGAAGCCACAGTGGCCGGTTGTACAATCGTAGGTTTGGTTAATTTTTTTTATTTTAAAAGATTTGTGAAACTACATTATATTTTATTCAACAAAGCACCATTTTAAATGAAATTGGAAGATTTATTTATCTCCTCGTTTTCCTAGTTTACATACAAGAAAGCAATGGGATGCATTTTCATCATCTTCTTTGAATTAAGGACCACTATTTTTCCTACTTTTTAATCGCACCCTTGCAGAAATACAGAGAAATTTTGCACTGAAGGAAAGAAGGACCTGTTTGCCCTGTCATTGTAGGTTCCACAAATCTTCTTTCTAAATCTTCTATCTAAATATCCCGTTCTTAGTTAAGAATTTCAATCACACCCAGACATTCACGTGAGACACGGGCCTCGGCCCAGTGAAGTTGAACAATGTTGGACCGAGGTGCGTAAGTGAGCAGAAACATTGGCAGTCCTGCAACTGATTCTAAGCATTGATCCCTTATGGAATAGAATCCCCACCAGAGCAGTTGTTGAAATCACTCAAACCCATCAGCATAATCATTTGAAGCCCAGAGTGGAGCTTTTGAAATTGCCTTAATGAATAATGTGAGAGCACTACCTATGTGGCATATGNGAATTAGGAATTGAGTTGGCCTTGCTGGAGGCTTTCCTTAACTCACTGTCCCTTTGTCCCTTTGGCCTTCAGGAAGCGAACTGTTTACTGGGCTGTACAGTGATTACTGGGGGAGAGACGCTGCCATCTTCCGCCTAATGGGCCGCCTGGGTCACATCCGGACCGAGCCTGACGATGAACGGCTGCTGAAAGGTACAAATGGCTCTAAGTAATAATGTCAACACTGAGGAGAACCACAGTGGCAATCGCCAGCATGAAGCATCAGAAAGACCATTTCAGGGTCCTTGGCTAGCCTCCGCCGTAGGCCTTCCCCCACAAAGCATCGCCATGGAAGTGGGCCATGGTGCAAGTTGTTTTAGAGAGGTCCATCATCTCGTATGTGACAATGCAAATAAAAGTTACGCTTTGCAAAGTTTTGGTTAGGCGAGAAGTTATGCCCTGCCATAGTCCACCTAGCCAAAGATCCTTTCCTGCCATGCTAGCTAGTTCTACAACAGAAGAAGACAGAAGAACAGAAGAGCTTTGAACTGGAAACGTTGCCTTAGAATCCGGAATTATTGTTCCGTATCCAAAACGAGCTCTTCTGATCTTCTTCAGACCTTCTTGTATGTCTTGAATGCAATTTTGCTGACATTGGAATTAATCAGTTTTATCAATGCCGTATCTCACTGTCTCTTTAAGAACCCAAATTTGTTAGTTCCCACGTGATTCCTGACAACGAAGACCGGGAAGATAACAAGGTGTATTTCTTCTTCACCGAGAAAGCCTTGGAGGCAGAAGCAGGGGCCCATGCGCTCTATGCCAGGGTGGGCCGGGTCTGTGCGGTAAGAAACACTTTTATTACCGTCTTCTGGGGATTGACTGCTTTTTTCTCCCTTTCTTCCTTTTTCTTCTGTGCATTTAATTCAGCTTTTGCCAACTGGACTCCCATCGGATGTGTTGGGCATCTTAGTTCTAGAACTGATGAGCCTCCGTCCCAGAAGGTTTATGGGCGTGAGCCTGCAGGAGGCAGTTTTAGGAGAGCTGGAATAAAATAAAATAAAACACACACACTCTCTCTCTCACAAGCCAAGCTTGAACTGGGAGTCCGGCCCCCGTCTCTGGATCCCCAGCCGCCCCTACGGCCGCCCACCTCAGTGTGACTCTGCCCCACTTAGGCTCGGAGGGGCAGAGAGAGGCCCCGAAGAAGACACAGAGGGCAGCCTAAAAGGGAGCCCAGGGAAAGAGAGTGGAAAGAAAAAGCCACCCCCCCCCTTGTGGGTAGATCTGAATGCAAAGTTCGGGGCTGCTCCTTATTTTAATTCCAAAGCTCCATTTTGTATTGCGATGGTCCCACCACGCGGGGCCCCTCCAGCGTCCCCTTAGTCCCGCGAGAGATTAGAGGCTCCCCCTTTAGCTTTCAAGGTTCTAGAGGAGCACAAGCAGGGAACTCCTTCGCCTTGACCTGGAATCCTGCCGCGGGTCAGTCAAAATCCTTTGCCTGCAGGGCCTCCGCTCGGCTGTGATCAGGTGAGAGGTCATCTGGGGGGGGCCTGACCTCTCCTTTCATACAAGGCTGGTTTCCAACCTTCCTACACGTGTGCAGCTTGGGTTAGTGTGCGGTCAGGTGCTTTGCGCTGAGCCGGAAGGCGGGTGGAGGGAGTCCATGTTGTGTGAATGCAGAGCTTAGCAGAGTCTAGCCTCCCTGGCTCTGAGAGAGGACCTTCTTGACTCTTCTTCTCAGAACGACATGGGAGGACAAAGGATGCTGGTGAATAAGTGGACCACGTTCCTCAAAGCCAGACTGGCGTGTTCTGTACCCGGGGTGAATGGCATCGACACGCATTTTGACGAGTTGGGTGAGTTACGTGGCTGCAAAGAGTTTGAAGGCAGAGCCCTCAGAAGGGCTCAGAGGGGAAAATAGTTGCATAGCTGCATTTAAATCTTTCATAGCAGGAAGGTCCTGTTAACAATAAACCATAAACCATGATTTCATGCAGCCGCCACAGAGGCACGTTTCACACGTTGGGCGAGAATGTCACCTGCTTGGTTTTGTTTTAGCGTTCTGTGTGAATGAGGCCAGTGTGGCTTGTTCAACAAATATTTGTTGAAATAAATCCCAGTTTAGAATAATGTGCAAACCCGTTTCAATTTGCACATTTTCTTTTCATTTCTCCTTCCAGTTCAGTATCACAGAAGATTCAGGAAACTCTCACTTCTGTTTTTAATTAGCCACAGCAATAATAAATCCGTTCTCCTTGCAGTTCCAAC